CCGAACACGAATTGCACCTCCGACAATGTGCATAGTCAGCGAGCATTCCGTATATATATAATATTATTTCGGACTAATTTGCCTTTTTGTATGTTCGGTTCCACCACATGTTTCTTGGTGAGCCCGATGTGGCCTGAGCACCCTGTCGTCTGATTGCATCTTTCAATTGCAGTCTGCGAAATCAATATAGCCGGTGTTGTTCGGGAGCCAATGAACTCCATCACGACTGCCGGTTTCTATTAAGCACCCAGGGACAACACATATTTGGGGCCGGACAGTCAACAGTTGCTAGTGTATTACTTACAAGCTTCAAACGCTCTCTGTACAGACTGTTTCGCTCTACTGATTATATTAATAAACTATTTACTCCTAGAACAAATCAACTATTAATCCACTACAGCACCTAAAAAACGCACTTCAATATCCTTAGCAATCTAAAAACTGTAAATATACTAGTAGCATGGACGCATAAAGACTTAGTACGGAACATACTGGAACAGTTCACCCCTATAAACAGGACCTGTCACTCTATTGCAACTTTCAAACGCTTACTATATAAACTGTTTTATCCCAATCACTATCCCGACCAGAACCATCACTTATTTCTAAAACGCATCAGCCATTAGAACACTAAAACGCTCAGACTCATTAATACACATTATGACACTAAATAAACTCTAAGACTTCGCATAAATACGTGAAAACACAACTACAATATAGGTAAATATTTACTAAAGCATAATATACAATCGACATAAACATTTATATATGCATATAACATTAATGTCCTTTTCATGTTCACATACTTTCTCTTTCTGGTATTCTGATGCTGCACATAACCTTCTATGCATCTTCTGGTCGAGGTCGAACAACCCTGCATCTAAACTGAAATGAAGATGAATTCCAAACCATTTAACTCATAACCACTCAAATTCCATGAACGATCCGATTCTACCATTTGAAGACGCTGGCGAATATGCTGTAAACGAGTATTCATGATCTGAAATAAAGAAGCAACTGGTTTTCAAACAGTTTTTCAACATTTTACTCAACTTACGAATACAGTCGGCCATGCAGACACAAATAGCGCAAATGGAGAGTTCTGGAATCGACCTCGGAACCATTTGATGCAGCAAAACAACCCAACATGACCTTATCTGGTTTTCTCACCCACGATCAAACTTCTTTGCTGTTATATAACTACGATAAGACTGCTGAAAAAATGGAATAAATACATCACTGATCTCAACATAATACACCAATAAACTTTAAGCCAAGGGTGCTGTTCACAACAAAGTTATATAGGAGAATTGACTTCAAGCTTTTTCCCAGATATTTTTATTACGTTCATCTGATATCTGGGTTTTTTGTTAATGCGAAGACAATATTTCTATATTTCTTTATGTGTTACACAAACAGACTTTATAGCAGATTGTTCCGACAGACTCTAACCTCAGAAAGAACAACCAAACTGTAAATTCATCATACACGAAATTACGTGTAATTTATATAATAACTTATCCATGCCCCTACAATTGGTATGTTCCTGCATAAACAGGAAGAAATGTATTATTATTACATTACAAGGGGGCCCTTGGTGTTGGAACACGGAGTAGAGAATTCCTGAGCAATCTTAAGATATTCGCGATATACGGTCTGAAATTTTATTATCACTGTCAGCCAACTCTCAGAAACTGTCAATGTCCAGCTCTTACTACGCTGGACCTCACGCTGTCCCTGGAAGACTTTCAGAAACAATTTGTGATAACCAACGCGAAAGACCCGAATAAAGATTGGCGACTCGAGATTCCTTTATTCTTACTCCAACCAATAAGATTATTACGCACAAGTTCTGAGAATAAATGTTATAAAAATAAATCACGATAATACTTCTGATAGTCCCTTATCTTCCACTGAAAAGAGAACGATGAGACGATGATTGCTGGATTGATGACTCCCGCGAAAAATATAGAGTTGGGTTTGAGCAAACAACCAAGAATTCATCGTTCAATCTTCAGCTACATTGACAGTTACAATTGGAAATTATTATGCATTTCCACTTAGGAACGGAGTTATCCATTGACGACCTGATATATTGTGTAACACCAATTGTTTTTGGGATCTTTAATTTGTGAATGGTTGGTAAAGCCTGAAGAGAACCGGGGAAACCGTAGTGAAACTAAGGACGTGCATTCATCATTCCGCATGTAACGAAGTTTGAGGCAGCAGGTAAATCCCTGTTGAGCTTAGACAGAATATTTATTACTTTTATTACGTGTTTGAGCATACATTTTGAAGTCTTTTCATCGTACCTCTTCTACTTATTGTTAGACGTTATAAGCTCAAAAATAACTGTTCACTGAATTTGTAGTTATATGAAGGCGTTTCCTTTTTGCAGCATTACTATACTACTTCACCATTGACAGCTTTTACGCTCGAGGAAGGATGTTTAGTTCTATCGATATGGGTCGCTTCGGCAGGACTGTTTAGTTGTAGTGCGGTTGCATGTTATTTTAGTGAGTAAATATTTTGCACCAACACCACTTCGTAAGTAGGCATTTATGGTCTGCTGTATGTGTGTATAAACCAACACTGCGGACATTAAGGGGCTGGCTTATCAAAGTGAAAATTATTTTAATGTACTGTTATACCTGCCATGTATGGGTACAGATAATAGCAAGAGATCTCCGCTGAATTAGGAATCTTGCGCAGAGATTGCCGGGCTCTATAATAAAATTCACACCAAGTCCAAACAACGTATAAAGTAAAACACCCAACGAGTTAATCAGGAAGCTGCAGCAATTTTGTAAATAGAAAGCGTTTCTATATGATGAGATCACTGAACCTAGCACTCTTTGTAATGGTAATGCTGAACATAATCGACTATGTTGCTACTGACGCATCAGTATATTCGCCTTGAAATTCATAAACCTAGATACACTCACTTTCTTTATAGTGTAATGTTCTTTTCTCTTGTTTTATTTCTTCATCGAATCATACCCTAAGATGCTTGTTATGGGGAGGAACGGGTGAGCTTAAACAGAATATTTATTAATTTTTAAATATTTTCGCACGGTCATGGTCGACGGAGCACCCAATTCCTCGTCAACTTTTAGCTTTTTGCTGGATGTGAAATCTTATTTTCATTTTCTGTGTATATCCATTTAGCATAGAAGGTTCCTGCATGTTTTTATCCTGAATTTCTTTGGCAACCACGTTCATTTATGAATTCAAGCATGATTTTGTGGAATCAATCTGAATTCTTTCTTGTTTCATTTTTGTTTTCAGAGAATCCCAGTGTATCTCTCTGTATTTCAATCCACATGCTTCATCAGTGCTGACGATAGAAACTTTGCTGAGGAATATTATTCAGATAGTTCAATCGTTTATTTCTGCAGGTGTATATATGTCGTTCCGAATGTGCTACACACTCGAAGCTTCACCAACGTGAATATTAAACTTGATGAAAAGCCTCCTTGATGTTCATACCAGGGGACTCCAAAACATAAAAACAAATCACATGAAGCTAAGTGAAGATTCGGTTAGAATTAGACCTGCAATGATTGCAGCTGAACAGCTTGTTGGGACCCGGTTATGCTAGCCCATATCTTGCTTCTAGATCTAACATTCTAGGAGGTGGACATTGAAATGGAGCCTACTTCGGAGACAGCGAATTTTGAGCTTAAAGTTTGTGGAAAACGGCATTCAACAGTGTATATCATGGAAGAACCATCGGCCCACTTTTCAGCCTGTTCTTAAAAACGATTTCTCCGATAATTGAAATTACCTAACACTTCTGTACAGTAGCGAAGTGAATCAGTGGAAGGGTGAAATAGTTATTGAAGCATTTATCAAGCCACGGGAAGAACAGACAGACATAGATGAAATGGTCATCGTGAACACATTATCTTCAACATCACTGGATACTGTGTAGCGTTCATTCCTGCACCTAACGCTAAAGATTTGCTTACTGATCTCTCCACTACAGAAACAGTGCTTCCTCAAGTTACTGCTAACTGAACAACTGCACACAAGCACTGACTACGCAGGAAGCAAAGCCAGAGCGAATGAGCTCTCTACTTCATGTGCTGTCAGTCACGTACACCTTAACATAGACTTTTTGTTCGTTGGGCCACATTTAGGTGAACAAATCGTCACCACATGAGAGTCCTAAAAAACATACACAAACTCTCTAGAAAGCGTACGAAGGTGAGTAACCTTTACTGGTTTGACATCTGGCAACCAACTCTGAAAGTGGACTTGCATAGTCTGAATTACTGCAGAATTAGGAGCAACCTTATTACACCATTCAAAATAGCAGACAGACCGAGACCTATCATTAGAAAGAAAAAAGAAAGAACACTGTGAGCAGTAACATATACTGAAGGTATGATGTGCTGTGCCTCAGGATATCACGAACAAAACTGTTCACAACAGAGCAATAGCGAAGTCATGGCAGAGTTTCCATTGCATCACAAATTTCACTCATGAAATTCACTACCAAATGTGACCACAGTAACATCAGTTGATATCTTCAAGAGATAGCTAGACTATAACACAAAGTGAGACGGATTTTCGCGCGAACACTGGTTAAGTGGACTAGTTCTAGGGGGCTGTACTGGCAATACTAATATTCCTCTCTGACTTTACATACTTCATAATTTCTCTTCCCACATGTCTTGTTGTTATCATTTGTCATGCTTGTTTTATAACCATTCCTCATGACATACGTCCCATTTGTTTTATCTACCCATTCTATCAACTCCTTTTTTAATCGATTAGTACCACTTTCTTTATGTTATTTGCCAAACTAAGTGGGAAATCGTCAGGCAAAACATAATTTGCAGGTCTCAGAAGAGCAGATTACGTGGTACGAACCCTGCAATCTCTTCAAAATAAACCAATGTATCGCCTCTTGCGGAATCCAAGAGCAGTCGATGAGATATGAATCGTTCCGACACAATAAGGAGCCGACTCCAAGAAATCTTAAAGTTTATACAAGTTCATGAGAAAATATTCGGTATTGGTTTTTGTGGCATAAATGACCTCATAGTTAGATTTTTCGAATTTGTGCGTCACTTATTGTCTGACTTCGCTGTGTGGAGTTTCCCACTCATTGGAATGTCCTATGTATGTTTTTTTCTTGTTTAATGCAGTTTTTTCAAATTCTAGTCTCCACATCATGGTGGAGCTAATAAGAGAAGTGCATATCTGGGGAAGGATGGCCTACCAAACTTGGATTCTTTAAAAATTTCAAACAAAGACACAAATATTGATAAAGAATATAAAACAGACCCAGGTAGTCTGATGAACGGTGCAGTTGCAAAGTTGGCAAACGGAGTATCTCCCGTCGAAGGGTACGTTGGATATTCCAACCTACCTAATCAGGTACGTTAAACAAGATTTACGCATATTTCCTCCTCAGATATACCGAAAGGCTGTGCGCAAGGGATTTGAATTCAATATCTTGGTTGTTGGGGAGTCAGGTGTTGGAAAGTCTACCTTTGTGAACTCACTGTTTCTCAGTGAAGTTTACAATGCCGAACATCCTGGTCCTTCTAAACGTCTAAAGAAAACTACATGTGTACAGTCGCATACAGTTATACTAAAGGTAATTACAAAATCATTAGATGATGATCCTTAAGGAAAACGGCGTATACCTGAAACTGAACTTAATAGACACACCCGGTTTTGGCGACTGCATAGATAACACCGATTGTTGGCAACCGGTTTTGGATTATATCGTTTCGCGCTTCGATGATTACATTTCTGGGGAAAGTCGAGTAAATCGTCCTTGTCAGAGCATCCCAGATCAACGTGTTCATGCATGCATTTACTTTATTGCTCCGACAGGTAAGTAAAATGTTCTCACTTGATAACAAATGTTTATTAACGTTTGGATATGTGTTTCATTAAAGTAGATTGCGGATATTTTATTTAACTTTTCTGTTTTATTTATATTTAAGTTACTTTGAAAAAGATCAATGTTTCTATGCCCAATTAGCATTCTAAAGTTTTGAGAGTTATGCGTAGATGATAAGTGCACTCACATTTTGAAACTTCTGAAAAAGTGTTACTAGTTGTTATTTACCTTAAAGGTCGTTTTTCCGTTATTATTTACGTGGTATTACTGAGCGTTACAATTCTTTTTCACTCTAATACTAAGTATTTATTTCTGTTTGTTGGTACAGGCTTTGTCGTCTTTTATATTGCATTGCATTTATTTATGAAAGTCTGGTTCTTGAAATATTTACCACACAGATTAGCTATTGCTAGGTACTTTCACCTTTTTCTTACGATAGAAAAGACATAATTTATTCCTGTGTTTTAGTAAGTTTCAGTATTGTTTTAAAGTTCACATAGAAGCTCAAGTTTCACCTATTTTCTGATCCATATTCGCGCTTCAGTGAAATGTTTGAAGTGCAGAGCATTTCTTAACTATAGAGAGCTTTCCGCATTATACAAAGGGTCCTATTTTGGTAATTTTAAGAGTTGAGTAGAAATTTACCACACCAAAATATTCTTGACTTTTCCGTTTATTTAAACTGGTTGTAGGAAAACAAATCCTATCTAAAGACTTAATTGTAGTAGACGTTTTGATCCATTACATATCATTCATAAAAGTCTAACCATGAATTTGTGAAAATCGTTCTTTCCTTCAGTCCTGTATATGCTGGATTTCAGATGGCTACATGTAGTCAGTAATTGTTTTAGTGTCAATGAGGAAGTGAACAATGTTTTCGTTTTGAAAGATGTTTTGACTTATGTGAGTGTTAGCGAGCTAAAATGTCTGTCTGTCTGGATTCAACATAGAACTTGGCACCGAAGTGCACCAGTTCGAGTTGCCACGTTCCAAATAGCACACAGAGGTAGACAAGAAGATGAGTGAAGAGAATCAATAGAGTTTGACAAGTATAAGAGTGAAACAGAATGGGTAATGGTAGAAAGGAATATGAAAGATTACAGAGACTGAATACATCTGCGCCATTGACAACGATTTTGAGCCATGTCACCTATTGTCTCCAGCCATTGATTCCTAGAGTCCCGAGGGCCCCAACCCGGGAGTCTGCATCTCCCTACCTGACTCAGTTTAACTGTCAAGGATTTCATGGATTGATGCCATGTTTTTGTTTGGCCACCACTGGCTCTTTTCCAACCTGAACCTATATCAGCTAGTAATGCCCGTCGGGGGAGGCGGTGGTTAGGCATGCGCAGCACGTGACCTAGCCATCTTAGTCTATGTAACTTTATAGCCTCGTCGATTGATTTTCCCTCTTTGCCCAACACTCTACGCCTAACGTCAACATTACTTACCTTGTGAAACCACCTAACGTGAGACAGAGATCGCAGACATCTATGATCGAAAGCAGTCAACCTTTTCATGTCTTCAACGCGTATTGGCCATGTTTCAGAGCCATAGAGAAGGACGGAGCGAACTGATGAGCAGTACACACGTCCCTTGGTTGATAACCGGATGTCACGCCTACGCCAGAGATGGTGTAAGTCAGCGAAAGCAGCTCGAGCTTTTCGGATCCGTGCTGAGATTTCATCGCCAATCAGTCCGTTGGTGCTAATACAACTTCCCAAATAGGTGAAGTGGTCAACATGTTCTATCACTTCACTCCCTATCACTAAGTTAGGAGTTGACGTGGTCCAGTCCTGTAGCAGCATCTTACATTTTGTAGGGGCGAATCGCATGCCAAACATACGAAGATTGCTGCTCAAGGTGTTCAGAAGACTCTGCATTTTGTCAGCATCCTCCCCTAACAGGACTATGTCATCTGCATATTCTAAGTCCATAAGACTATTCCCTGGTAACAAGTCGATTCCTAAGTCGTTACGTTCAGTTAAGGATACTTCCATCAGCATATCTATGATGAAGTTAAACAGAAATGGGGAAAGTGGACATCCCTGTCGGACACCACTGGTTGTTACCAATTCAGATGACAATTCCCCATAAGCCCTTACACGACTACGTGAGTTTGAATAGAGTGCCTTGATTAGTGCAATGTACTTTCTTGGCACTCCCTTCACAGTCAGACATTGCCATAGTACCTTTCGATCCACGGAGTCGAAGGCCGCCTTCAAGTCAAGAAATATGACAATTGTTGGACGCCGAAAAGTGTGTCTATGTTCTAGAATCTGTCGAAGAGTGAAGATATGATCTATGCACCCTCTACCTGGTCTAAAGCCTGCTTGATTTTCCCTTGTCTGTTCCTCCCGAGTTCTGCTTAGTCTATGCATGATTACTGAGCCTAGGATTTTAGAGACTATGTTCGTTAGGCTGATCCCCCTATGATTATCACACGAGGACTTGTTTCCCTTCTTGAATATCGGTATAATAAGTGACTTACCCCAGTCTGATGGCACTGTCTCTGATTCCCAGACTTTGCCTAGTACCTCAGTTAATGGCATCAATCCATGAAATCCTTGACAGTTAAACTGAGTCAGGTAGGGAGATGCAGACTTCCGGGTTGGGGCCCTCGGGACTCTAGGAATCAATGGCTGGAGACAGTAGGTGACATGGCTCAAAATCGTTGTCAATGGCGCAGATGTATTCAGTCTCTGTAATCTTTCATATTCCTTTCTACAATTACCCATTCTGTTTCACTCTTATATTTGTCAAACTCTTTTGATTCTCTTCACTCATCTTCTTGTCTACCTTGTGTGCCAATTGGAACGTGGCAACTGGAACTGGTGGACTTCGGTGTCAAGTTCTATGTTGAATCCAGACAGACCTCAGTTAATCTACAAACTAGTATGTCACCCCCATATTTAAACACCGGAATAATTCCGTTGGGTCCTGCCGCTTTGCCTCGTTTCAAATTACTAATAGCTTTTGTGACTTCACTTACAGACGGCGGACCAGTGTCTATATCCCATTCGGGTGTGTGCTGGATGTCGGGGAGGTTCAGTGTGGCTGTAGGCAAGTTAAATTGTCCCTCAAAGTGTTCTTTCCAGCGTTCAAGGCGTCTATCCTGGGAGCTAATTAAGGAGCCATTTTTCTTAGAAATAGTCTCACTTATGATTTGCCTTCTCCCACCCGTTTCCCTGATGAATCGAAAGAGTTGCCTAGTGTTGCCTATCGCGGATGCTTTTTCCATCTCTTTGGCTTTTGTCAGCCACCACTGTTCACGGTCCTTGCGGAGACTTTTAGTAATAGATTTTCGACATCAAATTTGTAAACTTCCAAGTTCGTTAATCCTTAATTGTTCTCCAAAGGTGTGTACTGTGGTATTTGCATGTACGCAGTGCTTTATTCGAACCTTATCACTTAACATTGTGTTGCATGCCACTCACTTTACTAATTAGAATCTGCTTATGTTTGACTATCATTTCAATTTTGTTGTGCACTTGACGTTTTTAAAATTCTGACTTCTAAATTTCAAAATTTTCTTTACTTAGGACATTCACTAAAACCACTGGATTTAGAATTCCTTTCGCGTATACAAGATAAAGTTAATGTGATTCCAGTAATTGCTAAAGCCGATACACTGACTCCAGAAGAATGTCGTGAATTCAAGAAGACAATATTAAATGATCTGGCTTCTCGGAAAATACGCGTTTTTGAGTTCCTTGATCCACCAGAATGTGCAGGTAATTATGATGTTTATTTCACTTTGGTGATTACTGCTTGTAAATATTTCCCTAAGTCCGCATTGAATTTGTGTTTTTTTGCATCAATTTCCGAGCTCAATTGTTAATATAGTTACGTCATTTTATTGTTTGACAGTATCAGTAGGAAAATCTTGAGTATCAGCCAAGGTTTTGTTATTTTGTAAAAGTTTAAGAGTGTAGTTGCACCATGTTCCTGTCATTTTGTGCATGACAAGGTGTAGTTCTCTATATGAAAATCGTCTGAAATATTGTACTGGATTCGAATACAAATTAATGCTCTAGGACTAAATTGCACCTATTTCCAACAGAAGTGAAGAGCTGCTTGTAAATTTTTTTGGTGGCCACAATAATCCCCGTCATTTGGAGTGATATTCTTTGAAATACTAAACTTGCAACGTAAAATACCTACGTGCGAACGTTTAAAATAATCAATGATTGTATATGAAGGTTGTTAACATAAATTGATCACTTTATTACCTTTACTTAAATTTAACTTTCCACCCACTCATTTACTACAAAATGTGTTATATTGTCTGCCAACTCGAGTTTGTACGACTTTACCAGCACAAATGAAATGTGAACAACCAGAAAAATTATTAGGTGTAGGTAGCGATTTAGGGTGAAAATGGACTAGAAACGAAGAAAAATTAAGACACTAGGTATAGGTTATTTTGGTTTCCGGAATTCAAAATACGACAAAGCATTGATACTTCTATGCTATTGCGGTCGACCTTGGGTCATATAACATAAATTCCCCAATTGGCATTTCTTCCTTTCTACAACCGAATCGAGAAAGATTCATTTATATTCATTAGGTAGCTTTGAGTAAAAGGGTAAGTCGACAATTTTTGCAAAGCCGTACAATAAAATCTACACAAAAAGCAGCGTATTCTCACAAATCACATCACCGCCATAAATAGCTAACAGACGGGCTGCTTTCCTTTTTTTATCGTAATAGTGCAACCGAGCTCTACTAGCACAAATAGTTGTTTTTTGAGGTTACATAATGCCACAACAGTTCGCCATATAATGGCGCTCATGGATGCTCCTATTGTTGTTTTAGAATATGTGTTACATATCTGGGGCCAAAAGTATTTTGTTCCATTCAAATCAGAAGCATTCCAGCTATGCTACCTTTGGATTGAAGTTAGAAAAGAAAGTAATTGTGGATCATGAAAAAGAGTGCATTTCGCTTCATTTAACCTTTGTTTGCTATGACTGTGAAGATTATTTATTGAACGGATGCTACTTTACAACGTCTAGCTCAACATAGAAGTATCTTGCGTTAGGTGTAGATAAAAAACCCTTCGGGACGTATGAAAATACAAACTGATCCAATTTTTGCTATTATGCTTAACTTTCATAATTTAGATAACCAACTCTTTCCTAACTCACAACTGTGTTCCGACTGTCAATCATTACCTCTTATCTTGTATTGTATTTCCGGTCCTATTCTATGTAATACTGTTGCGAAGGGTAGGAGCAACAAGTGATATACGCTTTTGTGCAAGGTTCAACATTTGTGTGTTGGCCTATTTTATCCCATTGTTAATGTTATTATTTGTCTGTTCGTAACAAGGTTTCTCTCTTTGTACAGATCGAAGCAATGATGAAGAGTTAATTAAACTACGGCGTCTTCGTGATAGAGTCCCTTTTGCTATTGTTGGAGCTAATACACTAATTACCAATGATTCTGGAGCTCGGGTCCGAGCGCGTTCTTACCCTTGGGGTGTTGTAGAGGTGGAAAATATGGATCACAGTGATTTCGCTGCTTTACGTTATCTTTTACTAAGCGTGTATATGCAGGTGAGTATTTTTTATAAATTGTATGTAATGTTTTTAAAAACTGCGAGCGTATAGTGAACCTTAACTTTGTTGTGCATGCCTGTTTTTCCATTTTTAATCACATTTAGTTATCTTTCAAGTTTCATTTGCAGTTTTGTCGAGATTATGGTTTTAGTTTTCTATTAACATTCTACTCTTAAGTCTCAGCATCTTTGGACAAAGCTATTGATACTGCAAACAATCGTTACTAGTTGTATTTTTTTATTAAGTCATGTCTCAAGATTAGTGTTAGTATGGTGTTTAATCAACATTTCTTCATAGTCCGTTTTCTTACTGATGTGGAGGTTATAGCAATTGATTATTCATTTCATTCGTAGTCGACAGTAGTATTCATTGTCACAAGTATAAACTCAGTAAAGCATTCCGTATCTCTTGTGTATTAATGACGTAAGACGCAAATAATAATGTCTTTTTGGATGCTACTTCGTAAAATTTCCTAAATATTTTTAGAGTTCATGTTATTATGCTTCTTGAGGTTAGGGTTATTAACTAGCCAGTTAGAAAAGTGTAATGTGTTCACTTTTTCTGTCCTAAATATCAGAAATCAGTGGTTAAACAGTTTTAATTATATACATAGAAAGTAGTTACAGTAGCTTGTGCATTCATTTTTTTTCAAATTCCCGAGTATCATGAGTTTTATTTGTACTTGTCATATGCGAACGACATTCAATCAATGGCTAAAAATCTCCATTTAGTAAGCAGTTCACGTTCATCTGCAGCTGTTCACTGTCGTCATATTCTTACATTTCATAGGTTTTCTACCCATTTTTGATAAATGCAGTTTTATTGTTTAGAGTTTCACGAAACATGTTTATGTGAGCTGGTCTTGCTGTGTTTAGACTTTTTGAAGCTTCGAAGCTGTATTGTTGTCATAAAGTTCGTAATATGTCTACCTCAAGAATAAGGTGTTTTTCCCTGGATTCGTCTCAGCAGCATGTCTTTCAGTAAAGCAACTTGATAGTCATTAAAAATTATAACTTTTTCATAAGTATTTGTCAAAAATTATTATTTTTTTTAAATTATTAGTTTGTTGGTTTGTATTTATTTTATTTTTTATTTTTGATTATAGCTTGATTCCACACCGTATTTTTGATACAAGTATGGAATTTTCAGCTTGTGATATCTGTAGTCCAAATTTTGCAGGCCGACCATTGATATCAGGTGTGCGTCGGCAGGGGATCAAACCCCGGACCATGTGCATGGTTGACGAGAGTCCTAACCACTGTGCCACGGACGCAGACTGACTTAGTGTAATAGGAGTGACGATTAATATTGTGAGGAAAACTTTTGTCCTAGTTGGGTTCAAATCAGGAGTCTTCATCTTTCACGCTGTTGGTTGCTTTTTAGACTGAAGTCCAATCATTTAGATAGTTCTTCCTCAAGTAGTTGACTTATTTGTCTTCATCAGCTGTAACTTGTCTTGCTGTCAGTTTCAGTCGACAAATGTTCCTTGGCTGGCTGTACTCTTATTATATTTCCTCGTAGAAATGATTTCTGGAAGTTTAACATGTTAATATGGATTTTCCTTTTTAGGAATTACGTGATGTGACGCATAATATTCATTATGAAAACTATCGAAACGCCAAACTTTCTGGTATTGCAATGGAAAGTCACTTCCAAACACGTGATGGCAAAGATCCAATGGCTCTTATGGAAGCTGAGAAAAAAGAACATGAAGCTAAAATGCGTAAAATGGAAGCTGAGATGGAAGCTGTTTTTGAACAGAAGGTAAATATAAGCAATAAAATGATACTTTGAATTCAAAATTATTTCAATCTATGAATGTTTTATAACAGTTTTAGACGCTAGGATTACGCGTTTATATACTCTATATTATTCCTTTGTGTTCCGACTGGAACATAAGGCTTAAAGCTTTGAAATTTCAGTAGCGGTAGTGGAGCTGCTAGTCTCACACCCAACATTCCCTCTTTGCCAGGTTTACTGATGGCTAAGCAAGGCTGGAGATTGAACCCCGGACCATAAGTGTGGTTCGCGAGCATCCTATGGCTGTGAGCCACCGATGCACCAGGACTACATGTAGTTATGACCGTCTATTTAATCAAACCTCGTGACTTCAAACTGTAATAAAATGTACATTCTTATCACTCCACACATTAGTGTGCTAATGGTTTTACAAGCATGTATACAACACAAAATATTTTATTTTATTTATTTAAACGCATAATAAATAATAATAATAAATAAATAAAATAATTGAGCAAAGAATATCCTTTTCGATAATTCCCTCTTCTGACTCTACAATTATATGCATATTTATATACACAGAATATTCTAGAACATCCTTGATAAATTTAACGAAGTTCATCCTGGAATAAATTTTACTACTGAGAAAGAAAAAGACTCCAGTATTTATTTCTAAACGTCCTTATGACCAGAAAAGAGTATGGCATAGTAAGAAGAAGTATACATAGAAAACTTTCAGCTTCGTGCCCTTAAAATACAAACGCGATCTGTCAAAGTGCTCGGTTCACAGATCAAGAGCAATCTGCTCGGATGAATGTTTTGATGAGGGGCTTAATAATATTAAATGGTTGCTGAGTGAAAATGGTTATCCAGAAAGTTTATTGATAAGAATATGAATCTGAAATCAAGGCAGCCCAAGGTACCAACAGTTCCTAAAAATGCCTTATTATTAAAAATTCAGTTCCTTGGGGACAACATCAGCGAGATACTAACACAGCGCCTTAGAAATGCGGTAAAAAGAGCATTCCCTGCTGCTGTGTCCTCAAAACCACTCCTCTTTTGCGTTTGGCAGTAAAAGAGAAACTGCCTAATTTCGCCTCTTTCATGTGTATCTACCAATTTGTCTGCTCCTGTAGAGCCAGTTACATAGGCCGAACAATTAGACGTGTTTCTTGTCGAATTTTCGAACACCACCTTGCGTGGTTAAGTAATGGACAAACAAAATCTATTCGTAGCGCTATTCTATCTCATTTTGTGGATGTAGAACACAACATTGATGTTAACCAGGCTCTCAGAGTCATTTACCGTATACCAGCAAACCTTAATTTCACCTTAAGAGTTCGATTAGCACATGTTGCTGCGGCTGTTGGGATCCACATTAAGAAGACTAATTTGTGCATCTAAAAGAAGTTAGTTCGAACATTATCCTTACCTTGACCATCTAGGTTTGAATGATTCTGAATTTTTGTGGAATTTTGATAATTTTAGTTGATATTCTATTTGCCATTATATTATTATTATGATTTAAGCATCTTTAATGAACTGTTATTCCATTGATCTGACTTTGCAAAGCGATATTACTTAAAAAACACTAATATTGTTATTGACTACTATGCTAGAATATTCGATGTACTTAAACATATATATATATATATATATATATATATATATATATATATAATTGTAGAGGCAGAAGAGGAAATTATCGAATAGGATATTCTTTGCTCAATTATTTTGTGTTTTATAGATGTTTGAATGAATATTTTCGCTATATTGAAACATGTGTATACCTGTATGGTTTCAGATCAGTTATTATTATTACTATTAAAATCAACAATAGTTGGTATTTTAGTCACTGAGACAATAGTTTGACACTGCAAAGTATCTAAAGTATAAGATCAGTTCTATATTTTTGATAAAATGTATTTTTTACAGCATATTGTTACTTTTGATTGTTAACTCACTTGTAAGTTTGAGGTCATTTAGTCACATTGTGCATTCCACTAAGGACGTTCACACTGTAACCAACTTCAGTTGGAATTTTTCTTCACTTTGATGAATACTAATTAAAAAAAAACACCTTTGGATTCTTTGTTCCGAATCGAATTCTTTACAGCTGGACATAATTTTTATATCAGTTATGTATTTGGTTAAAATATGCCATTATATCGAGTTGTTTAGTGCATCGGTGGCACAATGGTAGAATGCTCACCAACCACGCAGGTGGTCCGGGGTTCGATCCCTGGCCACTGGACGCACTCTTTTACTTAGCTAAGCCAGTAATAAGACGGGTAAAGGAGGGAAGGTTGGGCATGAGGATAGCAACCCCACCCCTTAAAAATAAATACCACTGGTACAGAAACTTCAAACCTCGAGCTTGAAGCCCTATGTTTCATTGGCAGCGTGAAGGAATAAAAACAAACATCGACTTGTTTAAATTAAAGCCTGGAAAAAAGCGGGGATGATTTCATAAATTCAACTTAGTTGAAGTTTCTGTATTTTAGTAACAAACAGTCTAAGTTAACGAGAGTAAAGGAGAATTGAATGCTGTTTTTTTCATACAGTATTTTCCAGGACATGTACATATATATATATATATATATATATATATATATATATATATATATATATATATATATATATATATATATATATATACGATAGATGGATAGACAGACAGACCAGACCAGACTTCGTGGAATCTAGCACATGGAAAATAAACAAGAGGAGAATATTGGAATCAATAAGAAAAGTGTCAGAAAGGGGAAAATAAAAGGATGAATAATGTTAATAAGACTTTTTATATTTTTGAAGACGATAAAGAATAGCTTTATTTGTCCTCTTGTAGTTAGTTCTAGTGCTATCGGTTCATAATATTTGGCGGTTAGATGTATGAAGATTTGATGATTAGTTCTGGAGAGTTAGACGCCGCTTGTGAATGGGAGTCAGGTAAAGAATAATTAAAAACTAAAACCTTATTGGAAGACCATCACATCATAGTAATGTGGATTCACAACTCTACTAGGGGTTGAGGCATAGAAATTGTCAGGTTACGAGAAAAATCCGTTACTAACTAGTTGCCCAGTCAAAATTCTAAATCACATAATTTCTTACTTTGCCAACTTTCTGATACAGCTTTAATAGACATTTAATTGTTGGGTGGTGACTAGCAGCGGAATCCAGGATAACGCGCATTTCGTCCTATTTGGGACTCGTCAACTGGATGTACCTGCATTTCTCAGTAAGTGATGATGTTCCCACCGAGGCTCGAACCCCTAGGACACTGGGTTCATCATCACTTACTGAGAAATGCAGGTAAATCCGGATGACGAGTCCAAAATAGGGTGAAATACGCGTAATCCTGGATTCCACTGCTAGTCACCATCCACCAATTAAATACTAATTAAATGCCCAGACATCGTTGAAGCATCTGCTCAAGAAGCCGACATGTCAACCTGAGACCGACCACTTCGGTCCAATCAGTCGACGGGAAAATCTAAAATTCAATTAAATTTAAGAGACATTCTTTATAATAATAGTACACAACGGCCTATCACGGTAAACTACAGTTTTCATAATTCATGATAATTGTTTATCTCACTTCTCAGTAATGACAATGTTTTCGAATTTGGGGGATATTTAAAGTTATCAGTGTTAAGGTGAGCGAGGTTAGTATTCTAAATTTTCACATTGCTAACTATCGCCTGTAGTTTATTATTGTTTGTGTTGGTTTAAATCTTTTATAACTAATACATCAATAACAATAACTATGCTAATAACTTTAAAACCGCTAACTATCCTAATTGCATTGGTATTTATCTTCAGTGGTAATCAATTCTACACTTAAAGTTGACTGAGTGCTTTTGTTGGGAGTTGTACTGAGAAGACTAACCAAATATCATTCCGTTTTTTTGCACACTATATACTTCCCAATAAATTTGGCAGAATATTTCGTTGAACTTATCAGAAAATAATTTGTCTATAAGTTTCTAACATGTGTGAATTTCAAACATATATCAGTTTTAATTGGTTCAGTATTGGTCCTTAAATTCTTTATCCGTAGGTAGTCGTTGGTCTTTATATTTTCGTAAACGCTGTCTTTTACCAGTCGCTACTAAATGGGAATATCATCGTGTTGATAAAAAATAGGGTCTCACTTTTTATAAAGACTTAAATAACCTCTGTCTAGAGTATAAGCAAATCAAATTCTGATAAATTTGTCTATTAATAACATCTATAGAATGATATCTGTCTTAATTTACTGTCCATGCCAAGTAAAATACTAAGTCGCGTTATCCTGGAGAGAATAAACGATGCACTGGATACAGAAATCCGCCAGCCCCATCGGAACAACCTGGATTCAGGAAAGGCAAATCATGTACTGATCAAATTGCAACTCTCGTCATCACAGAACAAACCATAGAATGACAGTCAAACCTCCACGTCAACTTCATCGACTTCGCAAAGCCCTTCGATAGCGCAGCGTTGACCGAGAAGTAATTCAGAAACCGCTTCTTCAACACTACGTTGTGCAGTGCCCAAGTCTTTATCAACCTCGTTCAATAGCTATATGACAATGCCACGTGTCAGGTGATCCACAACGAGAAACTCAATGAGGCGTTCGAAGTGAATATAGAAGTGAGACAGGGATGTCTATTAACACCGATTATATTTTTAATTGTGATGGACTGGGTTATGCCGAGGACTGTGGGGAGTGAGGAGACAGAAATACGTTGGACCACCGATAAGAAGACTCCAAAAGATCTGAGATTCGCTGATGATTTATGTCTAGTGTCACATAAACTCGAAGACTTGCAGGTAGGCGAAAATCAACAAACTGACAGAAGAGGCTGTGGAAGGCAGCGAAGACGAAGGTGATGAAGATAACCAACCACCACCAACAGCAAAAGCCAGCACCATTCATCATCAAAGGGTGAGATTTAACAGAGGTTGCTTCCTGCATGGTTTCAGCTACAGGAGGATATCACGGATAAGGATGTCAAAGTAAGAATCAGAAAGGCCAGATACACCTTCATGAACCTGAAACCAGTTGGGAAACCTCCTGCACTCAGCATAAAGAACAAGTTTCGGATTTTCAACACCAATGTCAAGTCGGTCCTTCTGTATGGGTCAGGAACTTGCACTGGGTGTCACTTAAAGGATTTCCAACAAGTTACAGACTTTTATCAACAGCCGCCTTCACTGGCTACATACTGAAGATCGAATGACCAGAAAGAATAAATAACAAGAAACTCAGGCTGGGAACAAACCAACCAAGAGCCGACTGGTCAACAAATATGTGGGAGGAAATGGAGATGGATCGGGCATACCTTGTGGAGACCGTCGAATGACATTGCGCGCGATGCAGGTCATCGCTTGAGTGGAATTCCATCGGGAAGCAATGAGTGGGTCATCGTTGCGAGGGTGAGATGGAGGAGATCGCCTGGGGAGGAGATGAGAGATTGTGGGCAATAGTGAACCCATCTGGAGAGGACGGCAGAAGATAGGAGAAAGTGATATGTTGTTGAAGGCCTATGTTCCACGCGAAACTCTAGGGAATAATAATAATAATGATAATAGACCTTAATTTACGGATAATTACAAATATTTGAAGTGAATCACTTGATTGATGTTACTAATCTTGTATGTGTACCTAAACTGTTGTCATTACGGTGTCGGATGTAAGTATGTATTAATTTGACCTAATTCACATGTTTCACCGTAAACTGGTTCACAGTATGATTTAACACAAGCTTATGTGAAACCCATGAACAAAAAAAAACAAACCAACAGCTAATCTTTACTATCATAAATGTTTATAACTATTTAAGTAATTTGTGTTTGTATATTTAGTTGGTTTTTGGCTTTTGCTTATTTCGTTCACTTGTTGTTCCCATTTAGTGTAACCATTACAGTAATACAAATAAGAATATCTTATGATATACGTATAAGTTTTAACTCTGTTTCGCTTATCTGAATGATCAGTGGTTTATTCCTAATAAACTGGATGATTTTTATTTCCCTATGAAATCGATGTGTGTATGCTAGTGGTTTTTATATTAGATTTATCACTTACTTTTATTCTGTTTTGACTTCATTTCCTAGTCAATCAATCATTCACTTATTGCATAATATTCAGTTTGTCAGTGAACATTTTCCTCTATTCTCTTGATTCACACTAGGTACAAGAAAAGAATCAAAAACTCCGTGAATTAGAATCCGATTTAATGCGACGTGTAGAACAAATGCGAGAACAATTGAAAGCTCAAGAATTAGAACAGGAGGCTGCTCGTCGGTCATTTGAATTAGAACGTCAAAATTGGGAAGAGAATTGGCGTGAATGGGATATTGGTGCAGATATTGGAGCGAATGGTCCAACACTAGGTCTTGGTGAACGTGTTATGAATGAAGTGATTAAAGAACGTGCAAAAACTGAGAAAAAGAAAAAAGGACTTTTCTAGTTCTCTTGGTTTTGTTTTTTTTTTGGGGGGGGGGAGGGGATTTTTAATGTTTTTCCCTGATTTTTATTGTCTTTTTTTCGTCAACCTGGTGAAGTAGGAGAGATAAAGAAAGGTAGAGGCTCTACACATTTATCCTTCAGTGAAGATTATACTGTTAACCAGTAAAATTATAATTATAAAGTGTTTTGGTCGTACTCTGGTATTTTAGTGCATTTCCTCAGAATAATTTTTATTTGATATAAAAAAGAAAGAAATCAGGTCATTCTGATAATATCTACTTGCATTTAGGTCATCATTGCGTAATTTTCGGTGTTTCTTGACAGTGTTTCTGTCGTTTCTTCTTTGTTGTTTTTCGTTTTCTTTGTTTTTGTTACCTAATCTCACATATGTTAATTATTCTGTTTTCTTTTCTGCTATCCGAGTGAAGAATAAGAAGGATTGTATGTGCTTGAGAATAATAACAGTAATTATTATTATTAGTATTACTATGACACATTATTATTATTCTAATTATGATAATTATTTAAATATCAACTCAGACCTGTGGTTTTATCTTTTTTTGTAATGACTGACTTCCTTCTCTATGACTTCCCAAGTGTTGATGGATTAGTAGTGCGATTGAGGTGTCCAAGAATGTGTGTGTATTTGTGTGTGTGTGTGTGTGTGTTACAGTCAATAACGGGACACTTGACCATGTCTGTCAAATTATCTTGGTCTTCATTTTATCGCTTAATATTCTCTTTAGCGTTATAATTTTTTGGCTTATTGTGTTTTCTGGGAAATATTGTCATTGATACTCTTGCTATTATGTCTACCGCTTTTGCTGTTGCAAAACCATCTGCGAAAACCGTCTTTTATTTTAACGAGTATACCTAACTTGACGTCATATATTATATTTATGTGTATGAATTTATTTGTTCGACTCTCTTTTTTCTCCTAACAATCAACATTTTTATTGTTTTATTATTAATACTATTACTAGTGATAATAATATTTATATTCATTCCTTTTTCAGGTATTTGCCAATATATATATATATATATATATATATATATATATATATATATATATATATATATAATCATTTACGTAATATAATTTAAATGCTTTGTGTATAACTGATATTTATTAAACTTGTGTATTGTATTAAAAAGTACTTATTTTTCATTTATGAATGTCCACCGAGAGGTACTCTGGTGATGCTTGGCTGTAAAGGGAATACCGAAAAAATACATTGCACTGGTCAAGGCACTCTACTCGAAGTCATGCAGCCAGGTGAGGGTTTACGGTGAGTTGTCATCTGAAGTGGTGACAACTAGTGGTGTCCGTCAGGGATGCCCATTATCCTCATTTATATTTCAATTTCATCATAGATGTACTAATGGACTTAATCCTAAGTGACTTCATCGACTCAGGGATTGACTTGTTTCCATGGGATAATCTCGTCGACTTGGAATATGCAGATGATATAGTCATTCCAGGTGAAGACGCTGACAAAATGCAGAGTCTTCTGAACACCTTGAAGTGAGCAGCAATCTTTGAATGTTTGGCATGCGATTCGCTCCCGCCAAATGCAAGATAATGTTACAGGGCTGGACCACACTGACTCCTAGTTTAGAAATAGGGAGTGAAGTGGTAGAGCACATTGACCGCTTCACTTATTTGAGAAGTACCATCAGCCAACGCCGACGGGTTGATCTCTGACGAAATCTCAGTACGGCTAGAGAGGGCTAGTTTCGCACATGCCAGTGTACGCCGTCTCTGGCGTAGACATGATATCCAGCTGTCGACCAAAGGGTGTGTGTACTGCTCATCAGTTTGCTCCGTCCTCCTTTATGGCTGTGAGACCTGGCTATTGAGAGTGGAAGACATGAAAACATTAGTTGTCTTTGATCATAGGCGCCTGTGGTCTATCTCCCGTGTGAAGTGGTATAATAAGGTGAGAAATATTGAGGTTGGGCGTCGAATGCTACGTAGGGAGGGGGAAATCAATTGACGAGGTTATGAAATTACATCGACTGAGATGGTTAGGACATGTGTTACGTATGCCTAGTCATCGCCTCCTCGACGGGCAATGTTAGCTGACATAGGGTCAGGCTAGAAAAGAGCGAGCAGCGGTCAAACCAAAACATGGAATCAGTCAATGAAATCCACAACAGTTAGTTTAAGCCACGTAGGAAGATGTAGACTTCCTGGTTGGGGTCCTCGGGACGGTAAAAACCAATGGTTGGAAACAATTGGTGATATGGCTCAAAATCGTTCTCAGTGGCTAAGGCAGACGCATCCACTCCCTGTGACTTATAATTTCCAATGAAACTATATTGTTCTTCGTTATTACTACTCCTTTGTCGCACACCTCTGTTTACTGTCTCTAATATGCATTTCCTCTACTTTCTTCTCTTGCTTTTTGTACTGCATGGAGTGTGGCGAATTGGACTGCCGCACATTTGTGCAAATTTCTATGTCGAAAACAGACAGACAGACGGAATGTATGGAGGACGGAAAATGCACCTCATCAATGATTAGAAAGTTTTAATCATATTTTAAGCCTACGTTCATAAATAGTTGAGCTGTCAAGGAATCGAGTCCCGCATGTTCATTGCCGGGTGCGTTGTCCCATGTGTTCACATTTAATGAGGGAAAAAGGTATTAAATATAGTGGGACGGGATTCTGATTCGTCTGAATAAAAGTGATTACGACAGTACAAAACAGACTGAGTTAACGAATTGGTTAAATAAGAAAGTATCTTAATTTTCTATAGTTTGGTTTGTAAGGGTTAGTAGGGACTTTGTAACCGGAAGGTCCTCGGTTCGAACCACCTGTGGTGGGTGTGTACTCCCGATGATTCCCAAACTGGCATGAAACAGCTGTCTAGTACTCCCTGGTTTTCAATGGTTCTCTAGCTGATATCAATCCGTGATCAACTCGTGAAATATTTTAAGTCGCATTTGTGATAGATGGCTTTAGTGGCAACAAACTATTAGCTGTCTTTATATTTGAGCGTAAAAGCTGACTATTATTATTATTATTACTATTATTATTATATAACTTAAGTAAGTTGCAGAAATATTGCACAGTTTTTTTTATTTGTTAACTATATAAAGTGGAAATACTATACTGAGGTACAGTTGTTTACATCTGAATGAGTTTCCAAAGGGTAATACAGTTGATAACTTCTTGGAAATTTGATTAATGAACTAATAACAACAACTAACTCTAAAACCTCAGTAGGTCGAGCGGAGTTTGAAGTAGTAGTCCATTAGTTGAAATTTTTGTATTGGTATTATTATTTCCGAATCTATATTTGCTATCAGCCGTATACAAGTAGAATTTACGTTGCTCTTTTGACGAGAGTTAATGCGAAGACAGAATAAATTGATGAAGCTTTGTTTACTACATTGAATTGAAATTTCTAGACGATCATCCCGAAATAAATTTAATGTGGTTGTTGAAGACTTACTTTCTTATGTGGAGATTAATCTTAATATGCTTTGATAAAATTTAATAACGAGTCGTTAAGATATAACTGTTATGTGTCGGTGGTATAGCGGTTAGGACGCTCGCCGACCATGCACATGGTCCGGGGTTCGATCCCCGGCCGACGCACTCCTTTACCTCGCTGAGCCAGAAATAATCCTGGTAAAGAGGAAAGGTTGGGCATGAGGCTAGCAACCCCATCCTGTAAAGTAAACACTGCTACAGAAACTTCAGGCCACTAGCTTGAAGCTCTATGTTCCACTGGAGAACGTGAACGAAAAAAAAATTATTATATAAAAGAGGCAAAATCTGCCATATTATACCGTTGATTCTGATGAATTTGTATAATGTTGTCGTAGCCGGGAATCAACATCCACTAACTAAATGACCTTTTAAGGACATATTTAAATCATCATCATTAGTTTGATTGTTCTACTGTTCTGTGTTATATCCCATGAAATATTTTTTCCCAATAAAGTAATAGATTGATAAATTTTTCGAGACATGAACTGTAAGACTGTGTTTGACATGACCTTGTGAAATTTAGCGGACGATCGATCAGTATAAATGAAAACATAAGGGTTTAAAAACAGTCTTCCCAGAAGGAATGAAAGATTCTGATTGAACACAAATGGAGATTGACAATTACAGGTGCAAAGTTTCTGATTTGACTCAAACCCAGCTGTATTCGGCAACTGAACTATAGCCAAGAATATTTCCCTTCGTCTGTTTCAGGTTTGTTTTGAGAAAGTATTGGACTAGAGGTTGTTCTGATGTTACCTGGAGGACTTCAGCTTATATAAATCTGCACCATAGTAGGTAACTGAGCAGATATTTTTCTTCAGTGTTCGTTACTCAGTTGTGTTACCCGTTAATTTTGTATAAGTTGGGTGCAGTAAATAACGTATGTGGTTCTTTTGTTATAGATTGGACTACATCTAACGGTGTAGACTATTCTGACCATTTATACTATTTAACTTTTGCTCTGCTAATAATCTCTGTTTCAATTACATATAAGTTACAGGTTTCCACTTTTTTTCTAATGTATTGGGTGATAACTGGATTTATAGATACTCCTTATCTTTTGTTTACTTCACTGTATTCAAACCTAAAAAATGTCTGTTTGAGAAGTATTTGGTTACAGGATTTCATCATGAACTGAGATCAGTTGGAGAACCATTGAAAAACCTGCAGGGAGTACTGGACAGCTGTTTCATCTTAGTTTAGGACTCTTCATCAGTACGCACCCACCGCCAGAGTTCGAACCCAGGACCTTCTGGTTACAAGGCGAGCTCGTATACTATTAAGCCACTAGGACTCGATCCAATGGCCCATGAATTCCAACTTCTGCCAATTCACGACATAGCGCGAGCAGTACCTAATGTCATCCGTGGCGAACATTTGTCCTCACACCCAACCTGCTGTACCCCACTGATCACGACTTCTCACTAGAACCCAGGTAACTGCATACCTGAATGGGGCCAGTCGCCAGCTCATGATGAAATCTTAAAACCAATCAAATTCTTGCAAACCAACACTTGAAAGGTGTTTATCACTCTGGTTGTTTAACCGACACTGATAGATATTTTTTTCACTAAACACTTCATTTCAAACTCTTCACTTTATTGACTGCTTTCTGGGTTGTCTGATTCCAAACTGTTCTTATCAACCCGCTTCAAAATGTATCACTGTGAATCAGTACATGTATTTGTTTGTTTATCATCGCTATGATTTCACAATGACTGTTTTTGGAAATTTTTAGCATACATTAGAAAAATTGTTACTAAATACATTTTACTGTGTGTATACAGTAATCCTTGTAGAATCATTAAGTTTTATCTGCGAAGGGTAGTGTCTATTTCTTCCATTTTGGGTCTGTATACTAATGAAATCACTCTGTAGATCAATTCTTATTATTTAGAGAATGTCAACTCTCTTAAAAATTAGTCGAAAAATCTGATAAGAACAGTGAATAATTAGTCAGTTTTTAGTTTTTTTTTGCTTGAATTCTATGGAAAGTGAATATTAAGACTATAAATCACATTCTCAATTCTGGTTGTAACCCTGGGAAAGAAAATCCAAAGAATAAACGATTTATTTCGAAATATGAAGACGTAGATAGGTCAGGTGGATGTCTGCAACACTCCCCACAAGGAATAAGATCCGAATTCGCAACACTGTAACATAAAGTCAGTACTTCTGTATGGTTTAAACTTGGCGTGCACATCGTGAGAAGCATTTCCAACAGGCTGCAGACTTTTATCAATAGCTGCCTTCGATCGATATCGAAAATCGGATTGCCTGTCGGGAAAGGTGAGCAACAAAAAAACTCTGGGTTGGGAAGAAACCAGCCACGAACCTATCGCCCGATACCTGAGTATCAATGAGATGCTCACTAGCGACTGGCCCTATTCAGGCAGGTAGTTACCTGGGGTTCTAGTGGGAAGTCGTGACCAGTGGGGTGCAGCAGATCGGGTGTAAGGACAAATACTCGCCACGGATGACATTAGTTAGTGGTCGCGCTTCATGGTGAATTAGCAGAAGTTGGAATTCATGGACAGGGCATTGGA